TGTTTCCTTTCTGTGACCATTGGTATTTCTGGGTTGCCAGCTTCCCCAGCACCCAGTCTAGGATATGGGAAGCAAAAAGAAAATCGGAGAACTCACTGCTATGTGGCTCTTGGGATTGCGAGGTCCATAATTGATCTGCCATATTCTCCCCACTTTTCAGAGTCTTCTTATGTTTAGATATATAATATTTCAGCTGTTCGTAGCAGGATGAATAGGAAGAAGTGTGTTTATTTTATGTTGCCCCTGCCTCTCCCAATATTTGAGGCATTTAAGACAATAGAATAGAACAGTCAAGATGCTGCCACTTACCTCTTATAAAATGAGATAAATTAGGAAAGAAGAAAAGCACAGTTCTTGAGGGAAGAAAGCTGGTTGGTTTTCTGCAGGTTACAGCCTTAGGTTCAGATTATTTGTCTTTATCTCCACCTTGTCTAGGTTGGAGAATTAACTGGAGACAATAAACATTATTCTTGCTAATACTTTATGTTCATGTATGATTATACGCAATATGATTAAAGAAATGAAAGTATAACCATTTGTTAGCTAGGAAATTACTGAATCCTTATCAAGACCTTGATGAGAATGTTGAAAAAGTAGTGATGGGGAAAATCGTGTTTGAAGACATCCTACATAGTTTTTATGGGTTAATTATAATTAGTAATACGTGCACAATATATATGTCTCTCGAATATTAAAATATTTTGAAGTAGGCAGTCACATACTCATTAACAGTGTTCCATTGCATTGTGTCATACAGGTCACTTTAACTGAAATCTTGTTGGAGTGGGAGGAGGAATTCATCATGGTGGAATAGAATCTGATGTTCAAATAAAGCAAGTTGATTTTGGAGCTGTATTAGAAAATGGAAAATGCTACAAAAGTTCAGAGTATAAAATAAATCAGAACTGCCAACACTGTAACCATTTCAAAGTTACAGGGTGAGGCAGAGATTATCTGGATTTTCATTTCCTGTCAGATGTAAAGGATGAAACAGAGTCAGAGAAACACAATACTGCTGGGTTTAGTGCACTGGTTGCAAAGTGTTCAGAAGTTAATTATGAATATTTGCTTCCTTAAGTCATACGCTCAAATACTAACTTGCATTTTAATCACTAATAAATAATTATTTAGAGTCTATACAATTATTGAAATACTTTGTAATTGACTGTAAAGTTTAATATGTAAAATATAATGGGCTGTCTCTAAAATATTTTTCTTTACTGTTTTTCGTTTATGAGACCGAGTCTCACTTTGTCACCCAGACTACAGTGCAGTGGTATGATCTTGGCTCATTGCACCTCTGCCTCCCAGGTTCACGCCATTCTCCTACCTCAGCCTCCTGAGTAGCTGGGATTACAGGTGTGCACCACCACCCCAGCTAATTTTTGTATTTTTAGTAGAGGCGGTTTCACTATATTGGCAGGTGATCTGGCCACCTCGGCCTCCCAAAGTGCTGGGATTACAGGGGTGAGCCACCACTCCCGACCTTTCTTTACATTTTTATCCAACAAAAGGACTTCATAAATATGGCTTTTGCTCACAATAAGCAAAGCGAAATTATTTCTTTACTTCCAGAAGAATATCACCAACACCTCCAGGCAAAAGTAATAAGAACATACGGGGAGGAAAGTTAATCTGATTATTAAGATTTGCTTAAATGTTGCAAAAACTGGTATTACCAGTAATAAATATATATTATATTTTATGGTCTCTAAACAAAGTAGGAGAAAAAAGAAAATCTGATGCTCCAAATTGTGTTGGCCAGTTAAGGAGGAGCTTTATGCTTTGGCAGAGGTGTAATTTCAAAGGAATAAGTACTTAAAAAAGAACTAAGTTTTGGCATTTCTTTTTTATTCTTTATTTACTAACAAAAAATAGTCACTGTAAAATTGCCTCATTGAGGCTGTAGGATCTTGAAATTTCAATTTTAGTGTCAAAAGTACCTTGTGGGCTGGATGCAGCAACTCATGCCCAGCACTTTGGGAGGCTGAGGTGTGAGGATTGCTTGAGGCCAGGAGTTCGAGGCTGCAGTGAGCTATGACCATACCACTGCACTCCAGCCTGGGTGACAGACCTAGACCCTGTCTCTCTCTCTAAATAAAGTGGTTTGTGTATGTAACGTACTTCCTCTCTGAGTTTAAAAAATTGACAAAAGAAATGTAACCATTATGACTATAATATTCTGCATGTTTCAAGATAATCTGATAAACTATCAAACATAAGTGTTAAAAGATTCTTTTACATACTTTTCAAATGCTCTTGTGACTGGTGAGGGCATTCAAGACACTTGAGATTACAATGAGGGACAGTCCAATCAGAGAATGGGCACTGGTTTAGTTATTTCACACTGTGTAACAAATTACCCAATATGTAACTGCAAATAAAATTACAAATATTCATGATCTCATACAGTTTCTGAGGATTAGGAATCTAGGAGATGCTTAGAGGGTAGATTTTGTTCAAGATAACTCAAAGATATGTAGTGAAGCTTATCAGGGCTTCAATCATCTGATAGTTCAACTGGAGAAGGATTTATTTCCAAGCTTACTTATGTGACTGTTTGCAGGTTTCTCATACTTGCTGACTGTGGGTTGGAGTCTCAGTTCCTTGCCACACAGACCCTTCCATAAGCTATCTGAGTATCCTCATGACATGACAGCTGACTTCCTCCAAAATGAGAGAGTGAGCCCAAGAAAGAATCCACAGCTATGAATAACCTTATCTCAAAAGTGATATGCTACTACTACTTCTTTATTTTGCTGGTAAACCAGACAAACCATGGTACAAGGTAGGAGGGGACAACATCAAGTGGTCAATACCAGGAGGCAGGGATCACTGGGGGCCATCTTGAAAACTGACTACCACAGGTCCATGTGGCAGATTTGCAACTTGGATTCACCTAGAACTTGTGTTAAAGCATACCTCCTCTAGTAGTCATTGCCTGTTACTGGGAAGAAATGACTAGTGACCATTCAGACAGACCGCAAGGGGCAAATGGAAATTTGCTGACATTTCTCAGCTAACATTACATAGCCTTTCCATAACTTGAGTATACTGAGTGCACTAAGAAATAACAATTCAACTTTTAGTTACACTTTTTATGGGTACCAAGATCCAAGAATAATTTAAAAAATATACATGATCTACAGTATAGGTCTGAGAAGGGTAGAATGCATAATAAAGTAAAACAGTATGCTGTCACAGAAAGTTAGGTGATTACCAATCCTAAGCATATAGAAATAAAGCTTTAAAACCTTGCTATGAAAAAGATGGAAAACAAGAGACCCTTTTAGCTTTCTTATTTCCCAGCTTGAATAATTTAATTGGATTTTATAATATCAGTAGGAATCAATGACTGCTTTTAGGGTTCCTACTTTGGGTGAAAGATAAGTCACTTTGAACACTCCTGGTAGTAAATTGCCAGGTAGAGAGATATAACCATTAAAAATTACCATATATACTTCTTGGCTTTTTGTAAAAGATATTTCTAATAGTTTTCAATGTAGGAAACTTTTCTAAAGATTGTCATATAAATCAGCTACTTGAAACTCACAAACCATAAGGTACCTGACCCAGGCAAATCACATACAGAGTGGTAGGGGATAAACAGCTCTACTGCACTTACTTGCACAAATAAATACATACACAGCCAATTTTAAATCTAATAGGGTTTTTAATCATCAAATAACTTATCCATCTGGTTAGGTCAAGACCTATTTGCAAGCTAGAAGGGTTATTTAGAAGAGTTGTGGCCAAGTGCGGTGAGTCATGCCTATAATTCCAGCACTTTGGGAGGCTGGGGCTGGTGGATAACTTGAGACCAAGAGTCTGAGACCAGCCTGGGCAACATGGTGAAACCCTGTCTCTACAAAATACACACACACACACACACACACACACACAAAACAGCTGGGCGTGGTGGCACACACACCTGTAGCCCCAGCTCCTTGGGAGGCTGAAGTGGGTGGGTTGCTTGAGCCCAGGAGGTAGAGGCTGCGGCGAGCTGTGGGCATGCCTCTGTACTGCAGCCTGGGCAACAGCGTGAGACCCTGCCAAAAAAAAAAAAAAAAAAAGGCAGAGTGTGGCAACAGATGGTGACTTCTTCCCCTTTTTGAATCCTCCAGGTGTTATCTGTGCTTACATCTTCCCTCAGCTTTTAGCTAGGTAAGGTACTCCCCAAGATCCTCTGCCTTCCAGGAGAGAGAATCATTGTAGGTAGACAGCTGGTGATTTCTCGCCTAAGGAGGAAAAGGAACAGGAAGTATTAGCTGATGACTTTATTTTAGCAGCTGGTTTCAACCTTGCTGCCATATTAGAATCAGATTCTGCACGGAGTGATCAGGCACTAAGCTTTTTTTCTTTTTCTTTTTTTCAGCTCTCGCGGTGAATTTTAATGTGCACCCCCAAAATTGAGAACCTTTGTCTTCCGTCAGTAGGTTCATTTTCAGCGCCCATCAGAATCACCTGGAGAGCATGTTAAATTTACAGAATGCTAGGCTCCATCCTCCAGTCTGATTCAGGAGGGCTGGGGTGGGACCCATCATTTGCATATTTAACAAGTTCCCAGATGCTGCTGATGCCGCTGTACCATGCCGACAAGTCTTAGAAAAATTTGGCTCTTGTTATATTTTTATACAACAAAAAATGGAGTTCAGCTGTGAGTGGGGTGTAGGGGCAAGAATGAAAATTGGTAAATGCAGAGGACAGATACCACTAGTCTCCCCTCTTTGCTTTCCCCATCTTCTTCAAAGTTGAAGTTAGACTGAGATCTACCCCTGCATTGCCCCTCCTCGATTTTCTTCATCTTTCGCAGATTGAGGAAACAACCTGTGAACGGCCCAAAACCGGCTAGACCCAACCTAACCATCCGTTTTAGCGGGTCTCTTTTCCCACACAGGCCGACCGCCTCTCCGCCCTGGCCCCGCCTCCAGTTAAGCCGGCTCCATCTATTAACGTTCTCTTCTGCCCAGCCACACCCCCGGCGTTCTCCGCGGTTGCGCACCTGACGTACATCGTTCAAAACGTGCCCAGTGTTTCCCTCCGCGTGCACTGAGTGCCGCGCAGGCGCAAAGGGCCCGGTGCTGGAGGTGCTGTCATGGCCTGCTTCAACCCGGTGGTAAGGAGGACCTCAAGCTCTGTGTAGAGGGAGCGCCCTGGGACTCCTGGTTCACAGCAGCCGAACCCTGCACACCCTTTTGTTCCCCCTGACACTTTACAGATTGTCATAAACCCTCTTCTTTAGCGGCTGGGGCTCTGTCTCACCTCTGTGTTGGAGGAAGCTGATGAGGGCCAGTAGTTCAGCAGGAAGTTGGGCCAGCTCCGCCGAAACAACAAGTGTCCTTTTTCTCTTTTCACCAAAACTGAGGCTATCTAGTTGGGGTGTTTAGAGGTGGAACTCCCCCTCAACCCTCCTGGTTTCCTAGATGTTACAAAACCCCCAAGTTCGGTTGTGTTAATTTTACCGTGGACATTGTTAATTCCAAGCTGTATTATTTACTGCTTGAAATAACAATGTGATTCTCATGTTACCTCCCCACATGTTTTTAGTATCTTTCCCTACCCGCCCATTTCTTTGTCCTTTAACAACTTAATGCTTAAGTGTACAACCTACATTACCCTCCTACCCCTAACGGACACTTAATTTGCACAGTGAGAATTTCTAGTCTCAGTGGCACTTAGGAAACCATCAATCTTCAAAACCTGAATCAAAGAACAAAAATGAAGGATTCATCTTTATTACCAATTCATCTCAACAGACTTCACATTTTGTGAAAGGCAATATGCTTGTCCAGATCTGTGTAATTTTATGGGTTCCGGTTATCATATATGCAGTATAAAAGCTCTGTTTAATTTAGAGACATGCTACTTTAATTATATCTGTTTTATGATAGTGTGTTTTAAGATACCTAAAATACCTATACTCTGCCTGAATATAAGCTTACTAGGTTTGCCAATTTACCTGATTGTGAATTCTATGAAGTAGTGTCGGTTTTAAACAGAGGAGTTGAGATGGACTAGACATAGTTTTAATAAAGATAACAGGGAAAGCAATACAAAGTGTGTGGTCCTAGAAGAGAAAATAAGTTCAATACGTGTTTTGATTTTTGAAAAATTGTGTTCTAATGGTACTTTTTGACTACTGCTGTGTTAAGATGTTTTTAGCCCAGAGAGTTTTTTCCTTCAGTGTTAAGCTTGATCACACTAGCTGGGACTACCACTGAAGTATCAATTTAGTATGCCTTTATCAGGATAAACTGTTTTAGAAGACGCAACGAATTTAGGGGCATTTAGTCTTAATGCATGTGCTTGTGAATAACATTATTTAAATGTTACTGATTGGCCTATTCATATAGGCTTACCCTGGGTCTTTAGAAGGATTAGTTTAAAACATAGCTTTAAATACTAAATAGTCTTGGGGGCTGGGCATGGTGGCTTAGACCTGTAATCCCAGCACTTTGGAAGGTCGAGGTGGGCAGATCACTTGAGCCTAGGAGTTTGAGACCAGCCTGGCCAACATGGTGACACCCCATCTCTACTAAAAATACAAAAAATTAGCCAGGTGAGGTAGTGCACGCCTGTAGTCCCAGCTACTCTGGATGCTGAGACAGGAGAATCACTTGAACCCAGGAGGCAGATGTTGCAGGGAGCCCAGATTGTGCCACTGCACTCCAGCCTGGGTGACAAAGCAAGACTCTGTCTCAAAACAAACAAACAAACAAAGAAACAACAAAAAAACCGCATAGCTACTCTTGGCATGAACAGGAGTATTTAAGAGTATTTATTTAGTGGGTAGTATGAAAAGGCAATCCTAGAGTGCCACAATTTTCATTTTCATTTTGGCCTCATTAAGCAATTTGAAATAAGAGCAACTCAACTAAATTCCTGCTTGCTGTTTCTTGCCCGTGGACCTTCCACTAGGTCAGTATTGTCAGCACATAGCATTGCCGTTTTGGCCTGGGGGCATAGTTTATGTAGATTTGAAGGGCTGAGTTTTTTCACATACCCTCTTTTGTTTTGCTATAACTAGTGTTTAATCTGGGAAGAAATCTGCTTAACTTTGTTGTCATGGCACGTTTGACTAGGAGGTATTTTAGAATGTTATTTGGTCTCTTCAGTATGTACACTGGACGGGTAAGGTCGTTCGTGCCCTTCTTTGGTTCTAGTAGGAAATCCATTTTGGAGCAGTTGTATTTGACAGTGGTCCAGAATATATATTTTTTGGACTTTGTGTATTTTGGAAGTGAGATGGGCTTTGATTGCTCTATTTTAAGTGCTTACCCCAGTCTTCTGGCTTGGAGTTTATTTATATTTGTGGAAATAATATAGTGAACCCTAAAAAATTCTCCGTTGGCCACTTTGATAAAAAGGTAAATTGAAAACAGAAGATCTATTTCCAGCTGACTTACATTAATTTCCCTTTTAAAAGGAGTTGGGGAGGTTAAATATTGACACAAAAGGCAAGTAACATGACAATAACCATACATCTTTGAGATTATTAGCTCATATGTTATTGTAGTCCTGTAATTCAGTCTTGTAGATAGGCTGAAACTACGGGTCTGAAGCTAACACAGTTTATGGAAAGCTAAGACTATATTGGGAATACGAATGTACTTAGTAAAAGTTTTTATGGTAACTTTACAAGACTAGAAGGTATACACTGCATATCTTTTAAGGCTAAATATGTTCAAACTTGAGAAGTCAAAACTTGTAACAGGCTGGGTGCGGTGGCTCATGCCTATAATCCCAGCACTTTGGGAGGCTGAGGTGGGTGGATCTTGAGGTCAGTAGTTCGAGACCAGCCTGACCAACATGGTGAAACCCCATCTCCCTAAAAATACAAAAATTAGCCGGGAGTGGTGGCGTGCACCTGTAATCGCACCTACTCAGAAGGCTGAGGCAGCAGAATTGCTTGAACCCAGGAGGTGGAAGTTGCAGTGAACTGAGATCGTGCCACTGCACCCCAGCCTGGGCTACAGAGCATGACTCCGTCTCAATAAATAAATTAAATAAATAAATAAATAAAGTGAACTGAGATCGTGCCACTGCACCCCAGCCTGGGCTACAGAGCATGACTCCGTCTCAATAAATAAATTAAATAAATAAATAAATAATAAAATAAAATAAAACTTTGACAATTGCTTTTATATAGTCTAAACTCTACAGATCTGTAATTGAAGATGTAATTGAAGGAGTTCGGAATCTATTTGCTGAAGAAGGTATAGAGGAACAAGTTTTAAAAGACTTGAAGCAGGTTTGTAGCCGATACAACTTTTTCTTCCTGTCTTTTGTTGTTTTTTTGGCATACAAAACTGATGCAGTTCTGATCTCTCAAATTATAGTTTAGTACTTACCCATTCATTGTGTCATCGGGATGACAAGTTAGTTTTTAAGAAACTGAAAAAAAAAGAAGTATCATTATATATGTATATATTATTTTACAGCAAACTTTTTTTTTTTTTTTTTTTTCCTCTGCAGCTCTGGGAAACCAAGGTTTTGCAGTCTAAAGCAACAGAAGACTTCTTCAGAAATAGCATCCAGTCACCTCTGTTTACTCTTCAGTTGCCACACAGCTTGCACCAAACATTGCAATCGGCAACAGGTTGGATACCGTTAGTAAATGAGTACTGTTAGTATCTTCAGAACAAATTCTCATTTAGGGTTGTTTTTCAGTTAGACAGTAATGTTCTTAGGGTGAGAAGGCTTGGACACCTAAATCATTTCTATTAAATGAACACAGTATAAATCATTGCCGCATGTAATTATTGGTTAAAAACTTGGGTTATTCAAACTAGTTTTTATTTTAAATATTAAATTTTACAAAGATGATAAAGCCTTTCTTTAAAGGAAAGTCACACAGTTTGTTGGCTGTTGGAAACACCCATTGGTAATTTCATATAATTTGATTGGGTCTAGTCAAGGATTACAAGTGGCAGAGGGAAAGATGAGAGCTCACAAGTTTGTGTGTTCTCGTTCTCTTATTATTATTTTTTTTTATGTTATAGATCTGATGTATTGGGAGCAGAATGTAGAGTTCAGAATATGGAGATTATTCAGGCTACCTCACTGTTTTGGATATATAAAATGGTGGCTAGAAATTGATCATGTGCATTTATCTTTATTCTTGGACTTAGCAATCTAGACTTCTGCTTTTAAGGGAAATATTTGTCCACGTTATGCTTATCAATTTAAACTGGAAGGGGCTAGCTAATAAAAGATAAAACTTAGAGTTTTCTATCTTTGCATGCTTGATTCCTTTCTTTCTCCTCTGATTCTTATAATCTTTATGCTACTCGTGTGTATACATAAATGTATACTCACATACAAACAAGTTTTATTGGGTTTAGCTGAAATTCAACAGAGTAGTCTGCAGGAAGTGAGGGTAGATTTTGGGTTAGATTATCAATAATAAGTAGATAGTTCTTTGCATGCTTGGAAAAATTCACATGAACATTACATGGGCCAAGGTGAAGAGAACATTGTAAGGATGCTTGTACTTCTTCTATTACAAAGTGGGAGAATTTACATGTGGCAGCAGTTCTAACATATAAAACTGAATAAATTAACAATGAATGTTGAATTACCAAATACAAGTTTTATTGAATACTGCATTTATAAAGTATAATTTTGCTCTGTAAGAATTAGTCTTGGCAGTTTTAATTGTTGACACATTGAAACATTTTTCATCAGTTGGGTTTTTGGCTATGCTTTAATTTTTAACTGCTATGTCATTGGGACATCCCCTTCTCTGTTTAAATAACATTCCTTTGGACTTTTGTTTTCTTAATCACTGTTTTACTTATTACAGAATGCTAAATGTTTTTTTAACTTATGGTTGGCATGAGGGTGTGGTAGATATGGAAGAGGAAAATACTTGACTGTCTTTTATCAAAAGAGGCCGAGGTGGATGGATCACCTGAGGTCAGGAGTTCTAGACCAGCCTGGCCAACATGGCGAAATCCTGTCTCTACTAAAAAAGAGAAACACAAAAATTAGCCAGGCGTGGTAGCTCATGCCTGTGATCCCACGTACTTGGGAGGCTGAGGCAGGAGAATCACTTGAACCCGGGAGGCAGAGGTTGCAGTGAGCTGAGATCACGCCACTGCACTCCAGCCGGGGCGACAGAGTGAGACTCCATCTTAAAAAAAAAGGCATGGTGAACACTTCTAAGATTCTGTCATTCAAAATTGCAATACTAGATTTTGCCGCAAGATGGTAATATTACCAGTGATTTAAATAACAAAATAGTCTTGCAACTAATGTATCTAGTTTGTTTTTACTCAGCACCTTATTCTGTATCTTAGCAGTTAGAATAATAGAAATAATTACATTTTAAACAGTTTTTCTCCTTATTCTCTTCCACATCATTTATAATGAAGAGGTTTAAGAGGAAGTACATGTATCCCTTAAAAGTGCTTTATAGTCTTGTTCCTGTCTCTCTTCATCTTTAGGTACCCAACAATAAGATTCTTGAAATAAATAGTCTCATAAAATTGAAGTACTTCTTAATTATATCTTCTCATGGTTTGCTTTTAAAAGCCTGATTAAAATAACTTAAACTTCTAGAACCTTTTTATCTCTTTTGATAACAAGTTCAAATTAAATCTATAATTCAAGAAGTCATTTGCCTTTGTCTGTTCCATCTTAAAACTTGTTTCCTCTATCAAAATCACAATAAGATACCATCTCACACTAGTCAGAATGGCTGTTATTAAAAAACTGAAAAACAGATGTTGGTGAAGCTGCAGAAAAAAGGAACCACTTATGCACTATTGGTGGAAATGTAACTTTGTTCAGCTTCTGCGGAAAGCAGTTTGCAGATTTCTTAGAGAACTTAGAGCTACCATTCAACTCAGCAGTCCTGTTACTAGGCATTTACCCAAAAGAAAATAAATTGTTCTAACAAAAAGACATCCACACTTGTATGCTTATTGCAGTACTATTCACCTTAGCAAAGATGTAGAATCAACTCAACCCATACATGGTGGATTGGATAAAGAAAATGTGGTACATGTATACCATGGAATACTATGCAACCATAAAAAAGAGAGAGATGTCCTTTGCAGCAATATGGGTGTTGCTGGGGCCATTATCATAAGTGAATTAACATAGGAACAGAAAACCACATACTGCATGTTCTCACTTATAAATGGGAGCTAAACATTGGGTACATATAGACAGAAAGGTGAGAACACTGGGGACTCCAAAAGGAGAGAGGGAGAGAAGGGGGCAAGTGTTGAAAAACTACCCGTCGGGTACTATGTTCACTATTTGAGTGATGGGATTAATAGAAGCTTAAACCTCAGCATCATGATATACCCCTGTAACAAACCTGTACACATACCTGCTGAACCTAAAAAAAAAAAAAACACCCCAGAAACTGGTTTGCGCTATCATATGTTCTTCGTTTTTTATTTGTTTAGTAATTTCCTCTATCTTCAGTTCTGAACTTTGTTTGGTCTCAGGACCCCTTTAAGCTCATAAAAATTAAGGACCCTAAATAGCTTTTACAATGTGGGTTGTAAAGTCTGGGCGACAAAGCGAGACTCTGTCTCAACAAAAAAAATAAAAATAAAAAAAGAAATTAAAACACAAATTTAAAAAATATTGGGTTATTAAAAAATTTAATTACATTTTAACATAATAGCATATATTTATGAGTAATAATTCTTCTAGAACAAAAAAAATTTAGAAAGAAGAGTAGCATTGTTTTACTTTTCTGCAGGTCTTGTTAATGTCAGCTTTAATGAGGTCTGCAGAAATGAGCTGGGTTCTTATCTATTTCTTTTTATTTAAATTTTATTGTATGTATTTAAGGTGTTCAGCATGGTGCCTTGAGATAGATGGATAGATAGGTAGATAGTGAAGAGGTTGGTATAGTCTAGCAAATTAACCTGTCTGTCATCTCACACAGGTGCTCATTTTAGGTACTTTTAGTGTGCCTGAAGTCTTCTCTTTTAGCAAAAATCGCAAATGCAGCACAACAATATTAAGTATAGCCCTCATGTAATCTATTAGCTATTTAAACTTATTGATCCTATGTATCTGTGACTTTGTATCCTTTAACCTACATCTTCTTATTTTCTCCCTTCCTGTCCCTCGTAGCTGCTATTTTATTCTCTATCTCTGTGTATTTGACTGTTTTTTTTTTTTTTTAAACATATAAATGAGATCATGCAATACTTTTCTTTTTGTGTCTGGCATATTTCACTTAGTATAATGTCCTTCAGATTCATCTGTGTTGTGACAAATGGCAGACTCTCCCTCTTTTAAAAAGCTGAATAATATTTCTCTGAGTGAGTGTGTGTGTGTGTGTGTGTGTACACAGACACACCACATTTTCTTTATCCATTTGTCCATTTGCAGACACTTTGGTTGTTTACAAATCTTGGCTATCGTGAGTAATGTTGCAATGAACATGGGAGTGTAGATATTTTTATGAGGTAGTAGTTTAATTTCCTTTGGATATATATCCATAAGAAGGATTGCTGAGTCATATGGTAGTTCTATTTTTAATTTATTTAGGAATCTCTGCACAGTTTCATACAATGGCTGACCATTCTGCATTCCCACCAACAGAGTATAGGGGTTTCCTTTCCTCTGTACTCTCACCAACGCTTGTCATCTCTTTTCTTTTTGGTAATACCCATCCTAACAGGTGTGAGTTGATAACTTAATATAGTTTTGACTTATATTCCTCTGATGAATAGTGATGTTGAACACCTTTTCATATACCTGTTAGCTGTTTTTATGTTGTCTTTGGAAAAAGATCTATTCAAGTCCTTTGCCAATTTTTGAATAGGGTTATTTGTTTTTCTGTTATTGAGTTGTGTAAATCTTTTAATATATTTTGGATATTAAGCCCTTTATCAGATATATGGTTTGCAAATATTTTCTCTCAGTCTGTTGGCTGCTGTTTTATTTTGTTATTTGTTTTCTTTGCTGTGCAGGAGCTTTTTAGTTTGATGTCTCTGTTTTATTTTATTTTATTTTTTATTATACTTTATATTCTAGGGTACATGTGCACAACGTGCAGTTTTGTTACATATACTTACATGTGCCATGTTGGTTTGCTGCACCCATTAACTCGTCATTTACATTAGGTGTATCTCCTAATGCTATCCCTCCCCGCTTCCCCCACCTCAGAACAGGCCCTGGTGTGTGATGTTCCCCTTCCTGTGTCCCAGCGTTCTCATTGTTCAGTTCCCACCTGTAAGTGAGAACACGTGGTGTTTGGTTTTCTATTCTTGTGATAGTTTGCTGAGAATGATGGTTTCCAGCTGCATCCATGTCCCTGCAAAGGACACGAACTCATCCTTTTTTATGGCTGCATAGTATTCCATGTGCCACATTTTCTTAATCCAGTCTGTCATTGATGGACATTTGGGTTGGTTCCAAGTCTTTGCTAATTGTGGAATAGTGCCACAATAAACATACGTGTGCATGTGTCTTTATAGCAGCATGATTTATAGTCCCTTTGGGTATTTATCCAGTATGGGACTGCTTGGGGTCCAACACCTATTTCCTAGTTCTAAGATCCTTGAGAATCGCCACACTGTCTTTCCACAATGGGTTGAACTTAGTTTACACGTCCCACCAACA